TGTGCAGTGCTTCCTCTACGTGGGCCCTCCCAGCTCATTTCATTAGGGGAGCCATTTGACGTCATCGGGTGAATGAAATGTGGTGAGGTGAGCCCACGAAAATCAAGTTGAGGGTAGCATTCTTTTGCATTTTGAATTTTCTAAATTGAATAACTTAGTGCTGCGTGCCGTTATCCCTCCCGTTCTTGCTGCATTGCTGTGTCTGTACTATGTACGTTAGTCTGCCTCACCCACGAATAGAAATGGGGCGTTAAATAGAGTTGGAGGGCCCCTTAAGGAGCCTCGTATCTTAAAAAATGGCAGGAAAGAGATGACGAAAGCTTGCGATAAACAATGCCGTAAACAAACTTGATCACACAACCACTGTTTACGGATATTTTCATTATCTCAGTGAGTGAAACGATAAGGGCCTAGAATAACACAGCAGCTGAGATACAGTTGGTGCGCTCTAAAAGACAGGTCGTGAAAACACGGACACAAAGGAAAATCAGAACATCCAAACGCCAACAACTTAAGATGCGTACAGTGGCGAAAAAAAAAAAAAGAGGGCACGAAAGCTATACCATTGAACCGTTGTCATTCACGTAGACCGAACCGCTTAATAAATTTTGTTTGCGCACTGCGGGCACTTCTCGCATCTATCTGCGTATCTATATGCCCTTCTGGTCACATAGGTCTGGGTGCTCTCGTTATCGCCCTTTTAATTTGGCGGGAACCAAAATTAGTATGGGAGGGTAAGATAGGTTTGACGAATATGACGCGCTGGTCAACACACGAATAATCTCCCAATTCTTTCGCAGTACGTGGTCAAACACTTCCCGCCAGAGAGTGGCCCATACCCACGGGCAGGTATATGCCTCTGGTATGCGAGTATGTGCGACAGGTGATTGACACTTAGTATGTATTCAAGAATAATGAGAACATACATGGACAATTTAAGCATGTGAGCGTTAAGAAAATCTCCACATCAGAAGCGTTGACCCGACGGATGCAAAGAATAAATACCAAGGTACCAGGAGGAATCGAACCCGAAACATTCTGCGTGCAGTCAAGCATTCTTCTACAGGGCCAAGCCATGTGTCGGAACTACTCTTCAAAAAGACCATGATGTTAGTGAAATGTCAATTGTGGTTGCAGTGCTGGTTATGTAATTTTATTGACATTACATATATGTACTCTTAGCATACAGCTGTCACGTCGGGTTAACGTCAATCGTAGTTAGGGGCCAGGTGCAGAGGTTGATTTAGGTAGCAGTGTCCAGGGCTACCAACCTCGTGAGCACCACGCTTCATATCAGCTTATCGCTTCTAGTGTTGCTAATACTAATATACCTGCTGGGAATCGTTGTGAATGTGCAAACAACTGGTTATATAAACATCTACAGTTTCTCAATATCTGTCTGTGCGTACAATATTCATACATATGAAGCTTTTTTTTTTTCTGAAAGAGCTTAATGCACTGTAAGTAAAACTAAGAAAAACGCAATTTTTTTCTGCGGACGGTTTGGTAGGGCCTGCTCAAGCAATTTTTTCCAGTATGTTCCTCTTCCCAAAATACCACAAATTTATATATCGGCTAAAATCTACATACTCAAATATCGTCAGTGTTGTGGAGTTTGTATTTGGCTCATATAGATTAAAACATTTATTTGGACAAGAATTAGCTTGTAAAGTAACTATAAAACTGTTCCAATTTATGGTATTGCAATATTTTGGGATAAAATTTAGTGCTTCCGCTGGCGCAGTGCTTCGACGCATGGGTGTAATGGCGATTACTAGTCTTCAAGAGTGAGTGGTCCTTCGTTGTAAAAGGCGCACTATTCTGGACTGTCATCAGTGGTTTCTTGTTCCTAACATCTATTGAAGGCCCTGGAAAGTGTTCCAGTTAGTCTTATGCCATGCCATTTCTCACCACTTCTTATTTTTAAGTGAATATATAGACGCCCAGTATCTTTATTTGATGCCTATTTTATTTCAAGTATACCGTGTCGGAGTTAACAGAGGACACGATACTGATACTATTGCGCGAAAGTCGATAATAATTATTAAAATGCAAATAGAAGTAGGCAAGTCAGCCTTTTTGTCTTAACAATCGATTTTTTGTCACTAAATATTGTGTCCTTGCGTAAATTCTAACTCGCGCTAGAAAACTCAGTTGTGGAACGTAAACACGATAACGAGGACACTAAGACACAAATGAAACATCTTGTGTGGAATCATGTTGATGTTTTGATCATGTTTGCTGGAAAAGTGCTAGTTTAATGAATGTGGCTCACTTTTATTGAAACAATAGGAGTACTTGCGCTTATTTTTTATTAGAAACTGCCTTTTTGAGCTCATGTTTCCATAACGAATTGCCCCATTTTCAATAAAACTGTTCTGGAAATTGAAGATGCCTAGGCATGCTTTACGTTCAACATAAATTCAGCCTAGTTTCGGTATCTGCATTTGTCTCTATTAGAAAAAAATGCCTCTTATATTAAGCGGAACCTTATGATGTGTCGCTCAAAAAAAAAATACAGCATGGTCACCTTCCTTCGCATGCTTTGCATGACGTCAAATAAAAAAATTCAGCTTGGTCACTTTCCTCCGCATGCTTCAAGTAATGTTGATTCTCAGGGCACATACGTGGGATCTGTCGACGTTATTATTAGGCTCGTTTGCGTATTTCACGGTCGCAGCTAAGTTTTCGGGTCTTTGTTTTCCGCAACTGTGCGCATCTTCAGCTATTCGAAGACGTTTGCGATGTCTTGACTTTCTTGTGTCCGTTTTTGGAGGCTTTGTCTTTTACAATTTATAAATAGTTCCGGGGAAGAGCGCCCAGGAGCCCATAGAGCGCAGCTTCTCGGCTGCGATGAAGGCGGGAGGTCTACGGCATTTTTTTATGTTGTTGCCATTTGGCTACTGTGTCTTGGGTTGAGCTATGGACGAAGTCGTTCTTCTTCTTCCCGCTAAGCCCTGACGGTTCGATCCGCCATTCATTGGCTTTGTCGTTTTCGGGCGAGCACGTGCTGTCGTTCTTTGCGAGCCTCCTCCACGGCATCCATCAAGAAGGCGTCTATAGCAAGAAAGGCCAAATACGCGGACCTTGTCCGACGTAGAAGGACGCTATCGCCCGTGTCGCAGTTTGCTCGTTGACGCAGTAACAATAGTGGACGCCCTCAGTTGCGGCGAGGGGGTACACACGACAGGAACGCTATTAACCCGACGGCATCACGGGCTCGCCCCGCCACGGTTGTCTAGTGGCTAATGTACTCAGCTGCTGATCCGCAGGTCACACAATTGAATCCCGGCTACGGCGGCTGCGTTTCCGATTGAGGCGGGAATGTTGTAGGCCCGTCTGCTCAGATTTCGGTGCACGTTAAAGAACCTCACGTGGTCGAAATTTCCGGAGCTCTTCCACTACGGCGTCTCTCATAATCATGTGGTGGTTTTAGGACGTTAAACCCCACGTACCATTCAATTATCACGGGTTCGTGTGGTGAAGCTGGGCTGCTGTTTCGCTTGGAAGTGTCAGGAATGGACGACGTTTGCACATGAGGGAAAAAACAACTTAGCAGCTCCCGTCGACGCTGGTTCCTACCACCTTGGATTCGTTGACGTAAGAACAACGTTGCGCAGTCGTGTGTTTCCAAACTGACGAGGGTGTTTGCTTTGTATTCACGTCTTTGCACTTCGACAGCAGTGCACTCATTATTGGATTGCACTTCAGACGTAACTAATTAGCACGGAAAAGACAATGGACAAGGTGAGGACAACAAACAGGTAGTCCTGCTTGTCAGTTGTCTTTCTTGCGGTAAATATCTACGTCTGATGCCAATACACATTACGTATATATGTAGCCCAACTCGCTCATCTTATATCTTGTCTCGCGGAATCAAATATTGGCCGCATTTTTTTATGGAGGTGAAAATGCTTGAGGCCCGTGCTCTTCGATTATCGTGAACGTTAGAGAGACCCACGTGGCCGAAATTTCCGGAGCCTACCAACGGCGTCTGTCATACACATGTGGTGGTTCTGGGACTTTAAGCCCTAACAATTGCTTATTAAATTATATATTCTGCTGCTTTTGAGATTCACTCTCGAATTCTTTGTGCACAAGACTCAGCAGGTGTGCCTGAGCAAACGGTTTATCTCGCAATAAGTACAGAAAATTATTTATGCTCAGTGTGAAATGCCACTAAGCAATTTCGCCATTTACTTGAAGCTGTCTAGACAGTGGCGAGGCAACGAATCTCAGAGGCAAGCGGCTATGGGTACAAGAGTGGGCGGTTATGTGCCCTTTCCGAAGATAGGTATCACTTCATCTCATGCGTTCGAAGAAAGAGCCGTCCGTCGCGAGCGGTAGCGGGAACTGGCAGGAGAGCGATTTGCTGTTTCGACAGCTCTCACCAGCTTTACTTCTTTTTTTAAAGCTATGATGCACTATATCTCTAATATTGTGCATATTATTTCTGCTTGTGAGTCACGAATAAAGAAAGTAAGCATGCGCTAATCATATAAGAATAATTGCTGGGGTTTAACATACCCCAAACAACCATACGATCATGAGAGACGCCTTATTGAAGGGTTCCGGAAATCTGGATCACCCGCGGTGCTTTAAATGATTGATATGTTAGTTAACCTTACATGCCCATAACGCACGGAATGGTTCAATTACAAACTTGCCCAAGCTTGAAATATGACGTGCGGATGCTTATATAGATAAATACAGGTCCCCTTGGCTAACGCTGTCAGATGCACTGAGACGTCATTGGTAATCCACCTTCACAAAATGGGCGGCTCTTTTTGTTGTCTCTGCCTCTTTTGGGGAGTTTTTACTTTCACACTATGTTGAATGGATAGCAAATGCAACAACTGTTTGCCTCAGGAGTGTCATTTAAGTTCCGCTTCAGCAAGAATATAATATTCATTAAAAGCTAGACTGCACCCTAAGTCTCCACAAGATATCTAATAATGTTACTTACCTTCAGGGTTTGTAAGAAGTCCATGTGAAACGCGGGCAGTTGATACCTGATTTATTGAGCAGCATTTTTTATTCCGTATGGCGAAATTTCAGCGCATTTTGTACATCAGTGATTGAATATAAATAAACATTTAAGCAGTGAATGTGCTTGTTGAGCTTGATGAAGGGTACCAGAAGGGTCAATCGCCTGAGTCCCTTATATGCTGATGGAATTCGGGACTATCTCAGGGTCGAGATATGGGTAGGGAAAGTCTTTGCAACAGTTTCGCTTCTTGATGTCCTCGCTGATTAACCTCAACTCCTCTCGAAACCTAGCATGAAAAACATGGCTATATCAGAACATATGAAAAATCTGCGTGATCTCTTACCTCCGTATTCAGAAACGCTCTTTGACTTAAACTTGACTTGCCACCAACTTTAATGCAGCACAAACACGTTTCGAACGCGCTGTCTTGAGACGGTGCGAAGGCAGCACTAACGCACAGACGCGTTTCCAACGTGGTGCCTTGAAGGCGGTTTCAAGTCAAATTCAAGTCAAGGAGCGTTTATGAATACGGGGTTAATGTGTCAGAGATAAATATGTAGTGCTTTAAAAGTATTCGTCCATCCGTAAATTTTAGTAAATTGCATTTCTAGACTGGGGAGATATTCTCGATGTATCCACGTAGTAGACATATTTTCTTGGCCGGAGCGCTTCAGTTAATCAATTGTAGTTGTGCTCTTTACCACAGCGATGCAGCAAATCCACCAGCACATTCCCATCGTCAAAAGAAACCAAGTGGACGAACCTTACACTAAAATGACACAAACTTGGGGAGTCTGGGCTTGCGTATAAATGTGTTCGAATCTTTCGTAACTACGCAGGGAATGCGTACCAACCTTCCAGGTGTGTCCGGCGGGCGGCCGCATTATCCGTAATTATAGGAATAACGCGATAAGAGTTCACGCACGGCATTGGAGATGTGTGTCCAAAAGCGGACCTTTGAGACTGGAATAGGTTGCGGTGAGACGCATTCCGTTTGTCTCATTTGCGTCGAGAGTTGCGAAAGCTTCATGACGTTTAACTGACGTTGCGGGACCGGAAACAGGGGGCGCGTGCACTGCTCGCCGAGCTCCAGACAATAGGTGGAGGCGGAAGTGGATAATCCAAGAGGTGGATAAACAGAGAATCGCGCCCTTGCTATCACAGCACCATGCTGTCACACTTTCAGTAATACCGTGCATGTACCATGCTGGAGTGGACAAACAAGGAAAAAATTTAGGAGAACGCGGAGATATGAAGAGACGCAACATTCATGAACATGGGGTGTCGCTGGAACCAATGATGCGTTAACTGTGGCTTCTTCGAGGCAGCAACCGCCAGTTCAGCGCATCTAGTACGGTATCAACGGAAAAAGACTGGCACAAGTGAATGGTTGCCGGAGCGGTATGATTGCGGCAAGTGGCGCTGCGTTTTTCCCGAGCCAAACGATGTCGAGAGTACCAAGCTCATTCCATTTTCTAAAGCAGGGCTTGCCGGGGGAAGGCATTCCAACAAACAGATTTTTCTCAGCAACTCCAATAAAGATCCTCATGATTTTAGAAAAGAAAGAAAACAAGAAACAAAAAAAAAAACACTGGGACACCCTCGCTTTTAAAAGTTGAACGCGACAGCAATATCCTGACCAGTGCACACTTCAAACACTTAGTGAATGAAATCTTTCTGAACTTGCTGTGCCCATGGCGCCGTAAAGTGGGTGCCTTGTGACTGGCTATAAACTACGAAGACACTCTGATAATCACATTATCTGACGCCCAATGGAAATGTAGGTTGTACCACTCATTATTACTGCACTACTTCATGTTTTATTATGAATCATGTATACAGGACACGTGTGTTTCCCAAGCATGAAATTATTTTAATGTGCACTGCATTTTAGAGTAGAAGAAATTATTTTCACGTCCTTCCAAGCAGACATGTGGTTGTGTTGTAGAACACTTGCTTCCCACGCATATACACCGGGTTCGATCCTCACTGGAAACCAGGTCTTTTCATTATTTATTTTACATGAATCTCTCTCGATTATTGGTCATGAACAAGATAACCTTTTGCACACAACCAACAACGCCGACGCCGGAATTTCTGCAAAAAGAGCTCTTTAACGCTATCGCACTCAAAAGAATAGCGTTCGCACAGCCACATCAGCCGATAATCAACCAACAAGCGTTTCTATGAAATGGGGGCTTTCGGATGAGACGACAGCAAGATGGGCTGCTTTCCTGCAGCTCTCCGACACCCCTGCTTCGGGAAATGGAATGTGCTTGGCAATCCCGTCATCGGCATGCTCGAAAAAAAACGCATTGCCACATGTAGCATTCTTGCAGTTCCGTCATCCATTCACTTGTGCTAATATTACTTCCGTCAAGACTGTACGTGAATGCGTCATACCCTTTCCTGAAACCACAAACGTGAAGGAGGAGAAGGCAACTAGGCCCCTCGGCATTTGCCATCTTCTTCCCAGTTACGGAAAAACAATACAAAAATATCATACCGCTTCTGCTTACCCGGTCAATAGCCAGTAAAGACACCTCGATGGCGCAAGAACTTTTTATAAAAATACTTTGCGGTCTCAAAATTACTTTCCACAAAGTTACTGTTCCATAATCACTGCAACATCAATGAAACTGGGTGCGGCAAAAGTACAACGAGCGAGAAACTATGAGCCGCTGCGCTCCGTATTCTCTGTAACTTGATGAAAGGCTCCGACTCATGCTGGAATGCAAACCCATGATAACGCTCAATGAAGTTCGGTATATGAGCTATGCATCCTAAATTATAGAAAAGTATCGAAACGGTAGACTGGTTCATAAGTCTGCACTGCTGCAAATTTGAACTATTATCGCTGAATAGTCTGTAACCAATAACTTTATGTAATTAATATTCCTGTTCACAAGAACTATAATTCTTTACCGAAATGTTCAGTACACCATTCCTAAAATTCCATGTAATTATTACGGAAACATACGGCGACTATGTGGAACACGTATGGACTCAATGTGGATCCAGTATAGGAAACGTGTGGGATTACTGCAGTAACCGAGGCAACGAGTCAGTAGGGAGGAGCAGCTTGCTATACATTAAAATGCAATGCAAATGGTTATTCATTAGGCAGTAACGGTTGTGAATACTTTGTGCAACAATTCCTAAATGATACACAGATAAATGACAGATCTAGCACCCACGTAGTGCACTGGAATCAATGCTGAAAAGTTTCTTACTCGTCGGCTGCCTTGACAGCGAAGGGCTCGTACATGTATTGAATCTCGAAGTCGCCCAGCGAGTTTGTGCCCTTGCTGCTCAGAAGCTTCGTGATGATCATGCTGTCGAGCGTGACGTGCCGAGATGGTAGAATGGAAACGATATCTTCTTGCGTCCACGCCCTCTGCAGATTGGCAAGAATATCAGGTTCATACCATCATTTGCGAACTTTATTTTATAAAACACACCACACTGATATTAATGCATAAACTCCACATAAATGTATTGTGAAAGCTTCTACACGCATTTATTAAGTCCAACTCTATTACAGAAAACCTCAGCACCTTCTAAATGATTGATTCACATGACTACATTACGAGGTATTTGGTAGCTCTTCATGTTTTGATGCGCTTCAGGCAAGACACTGACTGAAAAAAATGGCATGATTTCACGTACAGTGGGCATCGATTATATGCGAAACGCGTTGTGGAAGGTTATTATATGATTTGAAGATCAGTCAAATGTTTCGAGGCCGACGTAAATTATGCCGCGAATGATTTCCGTGTAACGATTATCATGTTTGCACGTGTCATTTACCTTCGTCATCTATTCACGTCACGCGACACCAATTTTGGTATATGTGTAGCTTCCAGCTCCGCAAACGTACTTCACAATTTTGTGTTAAGGAAATATTACTGTAATGTAGCCGGTGCACACGAAAGCGTTACAACACGTCAGTGCATGGCGTGTAGACTCATCGTTTATGTTAGCGTTCAGCTTCGACACGTGATCCGGCGTCCTAAAATGACGCGGACGCTTAGCATCGCGCGATGGCGCTTTTCAACGCGCATTTGTCGTTGGAGCTTGAATGTGATCGGCGAAACTTTGATAAGCACGATGACGTGCTGTTCGCGAGTGATCTCGTGTTGTTCGCCGATGCCGTTCGTAGCAGTCTGTTTGGTCATTCCAGCGACGCAGGCGGCACCATGTAGCCGTGCTCCGAAGCTCTCACACGGTGATAAAACAGCAACGCAATTCGGTCTCTCAGTAAACATAGACCAATGAACGCGTATCCACGCTCTACGATGCTGACGTAAACGCTAGCGTCATCACCGTCTCGTTCGCAATTTCGACCTTCTGCTGCGCCGCTGGAATGGTCAGATTCTGTAGTTTCCGATTGTAATTGTTGAAACTTCGTCTTCGCCCACTTAGCACACGCCGTTCATCATTATCGCGAGTGCTCCTCATGAGCTGCCGCTCGCTCGCGGACACGAAGCCATGAGTTCGTCTTTCGGGGCGAAGCTCTTTAAGCCGTGGGTCGCGCGTCCTCGATGTATTTAGTAGTAGTAGTAGTAGCAGTAGTAGTAGCAGTAGCAGTAGTAGTAGTAGTAGTAGTAGTAGTAGCAGTAGCAGTAGTAGTAGTAGTAGTAGTAGTAGTAGCAGTAGCAGTAGTAGTAGCAGTAGTAGTAGTAGTAGCAGTAGCAGTAGCAGTAGCAGTAGCAGTAGCAGTAGCAGTAGCAGCAGTAGTAGTAGTAGTAGTAGTAGTAGCAGTAGTAGTAGCAGTAGTAGTAGCAGTAGTAGTAGTAGTAGTAGCAGTAGCAGTAGCAGTAGTAGTAGTAGTAGTAGCAGTAGTAGTAGCAGTAGTAGTAGCAGTAGTAGTAGCAGTAGTAGTAGCAGTAGTAGTAGTAGTAGTAGTAGTAGTAGCAGTAGCAGTAGCAGTAGTAGTAGTAGTAATGGTAGTAGTAGTAGTAGTAGTAGTAGTAGGTATCCCCCTCTCGTTTAGTCCTTGGAATGTCTGCTGGATGTGGTAGTACTTGTATATAATTAATATATAATGAAAAGATAGATGAAGGTGGTACTTGAAGTGTTCAAACAGGCAGACGGACGGACGGATGGACGATTCAAAGTTTACTGATAAAACCCTCTGAAGCTTCGCCCCCCTCATCATCATTTCACTCTATGGTTATGCTGTGATTTTTTATTGTTAATTGAAAAGAACGTTCGTTTCGGACATGCCGTCTCTCGTTCCTGCATGACATCCTAGTAGCCGATGGACCTCCAAGTCTACCTCATGGTGCCAAAACACTATGGGATCTTCGAAACGACGCCAACCTTAACAATCTAAGGTGTCGCGGGGTGTCCCCTGAACCATCGGTGAATAGTTCCTGGCTGCCGACTGAATACATGAAACGGCTACTCCGTCGACGCAAGTGCCTCCGCCCGCCACTGGATGCCATCGTAAAAGAAGCGGAAGGCCTCCTACGGGAACAAGAGCTGTCATCTTCACAGGTCAGCATTTTAATCACCCGAATTAAGGTGATGTACGATCACTTAACGAGGATCGATGGCAGCATCCTAGATGAGAAGCCCGACGAGCTGATAGGGGCAGAACTTATAGACGCGAGCAGTCACGGGGACAAGAATGTCGCGGTGACGTCAGAGCTTGGTTTTGCTATTCAGAACGAACGTGCGTCCCAAGTCTCGCGCCCGACTACGATCCAAGCTTCCGTCGGTGTCCGGAGACAACTGTTGCAACTGAAACTACACAAATTTGATCGCAGTCGACAGCAATGGCCTCGGTTTTGGATGCAGCTCTCAACGGCAGAGCATAATAACGACGACTTCAGTGTTGCCGACAAGTTTAACTACATAAGCACGCTTGTCACTGGACGTGCTGCTGCAGCCATATCCTGACATCAAGCCTCAAACGAGTGCTATGAAGATGCAGTGGACGTCCTCAAGAGACGCTTAGGAGACTGGAGCATTATCGTACAGCAACATCTTCGAAGCCTCTTGGATCTCCGGCCAGTTTTGTCGTCTCAAGCACCACCAAACTTCGAGAACTGTATGATGAGTTACAAGTTCATGCGAGGAGCCTGGAAGAGCTTTGAACCAGTCCCTCTACCTACTGCTCAGTGCTGCGAGAGATTCGTTTCACACCCTTACCATTTCACTTGGTGCTCAAGTATCACGAACTGCACACATCAACGACAACAATCACTGCGGCATCCACGATGCAAGCCCAAAGGGACCCGCAAGACCGCAAGACAGAACCAAAATCGAATAAGAGCTACAAAATCTTCTCGGCTTTCCCGAACATCAGCTCTACTGATGAGAAACTCTGGCGTCATATGCGCACCATCAAAAAGTCGAGTGTCCAATCAGAAAGCTGCAGAGATGTCACGACGAGGAGGACGTAGTGCCTTGTCATCAGCAGCAGTACTACAAAGTGGGCTGAGGAAGCCTGATCCATGCCTGTTTTGCAAGTCATCAAAGAATCGAACGGAAGTCTGCGAACACGAGATGAGTTTGGCAAACAACATGATTAGCCACCAAAGCAGGGCAATGTTCTTGATGTCTCACGCAAGGCCACATGGCTAATCAATGTCACATGAGTCTAATCTCTACCTTCCTCTTGTTGGCTCGAGTCCATGGTGGCACTGCTCACCAAATTCCTGCTTGCGCAGACGCTCTTGCGGGGTTAAGCCCGAGCCACACGTGCGGTGCCCGAGCGCGAGTATGCAGGAGCGCGTCAGTGCGCGTACTCCGGGCGCGCCTCGCGAGGAATAGCGATTTCCACCCACACGTTACGCACGCAGGCGTGCGCCGGTGCGCTCTTACTCCTAGCAGGCGGGAATAGGCGGGTGGCGCCACGTACTGAGCTGTTTATGAGCTTCGAAGTGATTTTATTTACATGAGCTTGACCACTTTCTCTAAGCCAACGTTGTGCCGGACAGAGCCATACCACACCACTTAGCACGGCCAGGCAAACACATGCACTAGCGCACTGCACATTTCGGCTACGGGCAGAACGCGTAGAGCGCTGCCGGTTCGTACGCCGAATCCACCGCGACGTGATCTAGCCCGACGAGTGCTGCTGCTGGTTAAAACTATTCAGCACTACAAATCATGGTCAGACGATCACGAAAACACACTAGAGTGCATGGTGTGCATCACTACGATGTGCACGACGAGTCGTGCGAAATGAAGCTAAGCGATCTTCAGTAAGTCAAGGCGATGCCAGACAGAGCCATACCACACCAATTAGCACCGCGAGGCAAAGATATACACGAGTGCACTGCACATCGCGGCTACGGGCATGACGCGTAGAGCACCACCGCACGTTACCAACAAGCCCGCATCGCAACTCAAGAGAGCTAAGCGGTCTCATGCAATCTTGTATTGTGGTGAAATATCTATGAATAGAGCTCGTAAATGAATACATATGGCTGTGACTGTCCTGTATGTATGGATGTCAAATATGCACGAAAAGGGAAAGGGATCTAAATTGGTTCCTACACGCCGGCTAGGTCGATGTCGAAGTGTAGCCACGGCGTCATTTCTTATCTGCAGGGCTCCAAGCGCGGCTAGACGCGCGCCGTCCCAAGGCTGCAATCAGATCGCCGCTGACACTCGCGTACGCAGAGCGTTTAGGCGCGCATACGACGTCTGCGTATGCGTGGCCCCCAGAGCACGCTCGGGTAGCGTACGTGTGGTTCGGGCTTTAACATGTGCTTCATGAAGTCGCCACGTTAGTTCTCGTGACGAAGGGACCTCCGAATGTAATAAAATTCGCTATACATGTTACGTTGTATGCAAAAGTAGAGAAACATTTTGCATAGAACTTAATTGAAGTATAGCTGCCTGTTGAGAAAAATAGCGGCCTATTGGTATAGAAGATTCTTGGTACCTATGCAGAATGCACAATCTACGGTTGGTGGGCTTCACAATAGTTGTAGTGGTTTGGGCGTTTGAGTATGACACGATCAGTAAATTATAAGCACACAAACAGACGATCGAGGAGAAAGAAATGCGTAATTTTGGTCCGCGTGTGTTTTTGCACTTGGAATTTACTGCTCCCAATTGTTGAGAGACTGCAGCCCCGTTCACCTTGTCTGTAGGCGGTCCATTGTAGAGAAACGCCGGGTAGTTGGGCGGGAAGGCGTACTCCTCGTACTGCTGGAAGTTCGCCGCCGCGTGTCCCACGCTGCACTGCTGTATGATGGCAGTCACGGTGTCGATCACTTGCTCCACGTCTGTGAACTGCCCGTGCTCGTCGCCTGGCACGCCCTGCGCCCGACAAAATGATCGTGTTCGGAAAGATACTCTTGCGCATATACATTCTTTGGACGTGCAGACTTTGCGTTTACAGATATCACGTGTCGTGAGTTCTTAAAATACTGGAAAAATATACAAGCTATATCTTAAATATTTATTTTACTATAGTCAATCTTACTATTTAGGGATAGAATTGCAAGAACGCATGAAGAATACCCGTTGTTTGTGAGTTTCGTCTGTCGTTTTATTGGCCAAACCACCGCACGTCCTCCACCTAACATCGGGCCCAAGCAAGAACAGAGTCAGCGGAGCTGACGTTAACGCAAAGCCCCAAGTAGCGGAACTTTGCTTTGAACTTTTACTGTATTTTGTAGGCCTGTGTCTGGTAATACCGTAATTGAATCGTCAATGCCCCAACGTATCATTTAATAATGCTAGCGTCACTAATTGTCACCAACTTAGCGTCCCTTCGAACCTCCCTCCTCAAATTGAAAGAAATCAGCGCCCCACAGCGGAGGAGTGGCTAAGAGCACGCGGGCTCAAGCTTTGGTGACGGAGACAAAACAGTTTTCAAATCGGTGGTCCGCGTGCGCTAAAGAATTAAACGGCGTGCATGGTGCTTTGGTATGAGTTAATCTATTCACCTTTTCATAAACGCCTCCCTGGGCGCCGCCATAGCCCTCCTTGGGCTGTGCAAATTGGCGCGTCCCCTCGAAAATGCACTGACAACGCTACGCCCTTAGTCTTTGTACTCCCGCGCACAGCCCATCTAGGCGGTGTTTTTTTTCCTTTCTGTGAAAAGGTGTATAGGGAGCCTTCATGTGCTCACCGCGTCGGAGGCGGCGCATGAAAACATTTAATTCATAACTTATATTTATATTCTATTTCAATGACTTTGAAATTTAATTTATGTTCTATTTTGTAATTATAAGTTGACATATAATAAATGTTTTTCTAAACACGCGAGTGACCCGAGAGTATGACAACACTGGCGCACTCGTGAGCCATGACGTAACAAGGCGCTTGCTTCGCGAGCGTCTGCCGTCCGGCCAAATATTTTGTTTCGTGGTCTGCTGTGCGTACAATGAAGCTCTTTCAGTTTCCTGCAGCTCGACACTAAAACTGAATAACTTGCAGTGGCTTAAATTTAGGTAGAAGACGACAATTCCATTCCATGCAGTGCATGACGTCACATACGCCAAGACAAAATGGCGGTCGCTGGTGGTGGGCGGGGTCTATATCTGGGGTCTTCTTGGCAGTAAAATATTATTTTACTATTCGTATATGTACAGATACAGTTTAATTTCTTTATTTCTTCTATTTTTTACTGAAAACTAGATTTTTGTAGGTGACCGAGTCAAGGCCTCTTTAATGGCCACCGCATAGTATAGCATCTTGCCAAGCGAGCAATAGCCTCCAAGTAATGCAGCTAAACCACAATACAGTGTTCGCACACTTGGTCGTGGTCCATATCCAAATTTCTGCAGTTTTGTACATGTCACTTATACTTTTATATACGGGAAATATGGCTCGCTGTGTGAAAATGAAAGTAAATAAGTGTGTTCAGTAAGGGCATTCTGCTCGTCCCGAGCACAATTTCGTGCATTCCTCGTCAGGGGTGACCATTTATGCTGAGCGCCGTGAGAGCATCCTCAAAACATTTGCGCCTTTCAATAGCGGACTCTGCGCGCTAAAATTAATTGTACTGTGCATCACTTAAATTTTCCTGCGCTGTGCGTCACTATAGCATATCATGACGCACACAACAGATTTTAGTTCGTTTTTCCTTTGTCGAAGATGACTTTCGGCAAGGTATGCAATACTTTGTTGGAATACGTGTCATCGAATTGAATACGCTTCATCAATTTGGGACTCTGGTGAGGTAACATTATCACAGATGCTGAAATCCGTTCGGAGTCGTGCAACTCGTTTCATTTGGGCTAACTGCGAAATATTCTTTCTTTGTTGAGTTGAGCGATGACCTAGAAGAAGGCCCCTAGTCATTCTGGAAATATCTAAACCGAAAAAAGATCAGTTTTTTTTGCATTAAACTACCAAGCAGGCATCGCTTCTAAGCAATACCGCTCAGAGCAATATAATGCCAGCCATTAAAATTGATTTTAGTGGCGTCGATTCATTGTCACGCCACTTAGATGAAACAAAAGCCATTGGACTTGATGGACTGTCCCCAGTAGTTGTGAAAGAGTGTCATGACATCACGTCTACATATTTAGGAAACACCTACGAACTATCCCTCGAAACTGGTCGTATTCCTCAAAAGTGGAAGACAGCAAACGTTACACTCGTTTTCAACTTTCCGCGGATACAAAATTACTTGAATAGCAAAACCAAGCCCGTCATCCGCAATAATGTCAAATCTACGTCCATACAGCAACTTCGAGTATTTCTCAAGGTATAGCTTCAGGACCTTGGCTCTTCCTAATCTATTTAAACGACATAGTCACCTTTAAATTTTTTTGCTGACGACCGTGTCATATACAGAGAAATCACGACTGAATCAAACTCGCATTGTACAAACCGATCTAGATGACATATCGGACTGGTGTGGAAAAATGGAAAATGAATTGCAATATTAAAATGTGTTGCAGCGTGAGCTTCTCAAGAAACATGCACAAATCACGTCATTATCTTATCATCTATGGCGTACCTATCAACATACACTGCGATTATAAGTACCTCGGTGTTCATTTTACTAAATCGTTTACATGGAACGAAAAAATCGACATGGCCATAGCAAAAGCTAGTAGGATGTTTTAATTTATTAGCAGGAAATTCAAACAGGCAACGCGCGAAATCAATCAACTTTATAGTTTTTGCAGGTCAGGTCTATACTTGATCTATCTTTCTATCTACTTTCAAGTGGAGATCTATCACTTTTTTCTACTCAATTCTTCAAAAAAAAAACAATAGGAGAGAGGAACCGCTTAACTGGTGGCATAATAAACATAACAAATAATGATTTATTTTGTCTATGCTGTCAAATTGTTGTTGCATTATGTATGTACTACCGTGTATTCAAAATGTAGTTTGTGATACATTCTTCCATTCTGATAAATGTGACGGAGAATCTTTGTATGCCTGTTTATCATTGCTACGGATTTCTTTGTTCTGATTATGTTGTTGCCTCGCCCTCCGCCTCCCCGTAATGCATAAATGGCAATGTAGGTAATTTGTAAGTAAAAAAATAAAATAAACTACCATTGTTGAGCTATTGTCACCCAATCGGCGGCATCTCTAAACCTCATCCCACAAGCTAGCCGGAAAAAGGTCACTTTCATATGCCTGCTTCATAAATTCTTGATCATAATACGAAGAATCGGTTCTGAATAATCCGATCTTCTCCTTTCCTACTTTTTTCGCAGTAATCGCCAACATGTTGCAGCCTGTCATTGCAATACAGTAACTTATGCCCAAGCATATCTCCCAAAGAACTTGTAATGAATGAAATTTCCTGCCTACATTGTTAACAAGCATCACTAGCTCCATTCAGTTTAAGAAGATCCCTAAAACAATAATTAGGAATGATTACTTATTTATATCTTTTTGTTTTGTTCAATAATTGATTTTCTTTGAATTTTGACTTCACCATCTAATGAGAATATAATTAGTGTTCAGCATTTGCTTTGCTGATCATGCAAGTTGTTAGTAGAGTTCATGTATGTTATGCCTCAATCAATTTCTATATTTTTATGACATGTGCTTCGTGTTCCTTATTTTCTTTTTTTTTGTGCATTGCCCTTCTGCTCTGAAAGTTACTCTGTACCTTGAGATTAAAAGGAAGAAATAGATAGAACGAACTTGCCTTTAATCCAACGCCTGTCAAATGACGTTCTTTGACGAGCTCATCTCTCCACTGTTGCAGTTCATAGTCGTTCTTGAGTTTCTCTGGCGTATCTGCGTGACAAGAATAATAATCATTTTTAATTCATCAACCGACTCCAAAAAATACAGATGTTGAAGGCTGTGAGCTAAAAGCCACAAAATGGTTTGACGAGGCCGATGGTCTTTTGAACTTGGCACCGACAAGACGCCAACATGAGCTTGGTGCAGCAAAAGGTATATTACCGTCCTTCTACTCACAAAAGTACTAAATAAAACAATAAAATATACACAGGTTACAAAATATACACGTGTTATCACATAACCTAAATGCAACTGTACGTGAGAGACTTACAATGCGACGCAGTTTTAATGAATTGCAGCACATACAATGTAACCATGCTGTCAAATGTATGTTGTAATCATAGTCTGCAGAAAAATTGAAGCTAATGAGGAATAAAATTGGGAAGAATCATAATGACCAGAACACTATGCGTATAGTAGTGCACTTAAAATGATTCACATGCAAACACAGCCACCTACCATAATAGTAGTTGACGACTTTGGAGACGTATTTTCTGATGGCCGCGTTAATTCTAATTGCATCATCCCGGTACGGATACCAAGGCAGAATCTCCGGACTGAGAACCTGCGGACGGAACACGCAACATGCCAACGTAACGCTGCCAACATGCAAGTGTTTTCTGTGTTATAGGCTTCTGCTGTATGCATCGAAATCTTTTTCACACCAATTTATATCTAGCGCTTACTTAGAACTCCTTGCCTGTGAATAAACAGTTTATGATTATTTGCACTTCTTAGCACTTCAAATAGGTCGAACACAGTAGGCAATGAACAAAGGTCATGAACAAAGGTCATGAAAACTTGAGCACAACCATTATTGTTCCACCCGAAGGAAAAGGTAGTTTATGAACCCCTCCACAAAAGACGATGTTTTTTGGGACGCGAAGGTGTTTGCTCGAGTGACAATTAAATAAGAGGAAATAAAGATAAAGTGGACCCCACCACTGTCTCACTTAGGGAGGACACCTCCGAGCGGTGCAACATGAGGAAAGGGATAGGATGGATTAAAAAAAAAATACGTAGGAAGACGGAGAGCGGTTAGACGAGATCCTGGCGAGAGAAGTGTCGATCGCGAGGTCCTCCCAGCGAATCCGCAAAGAGGGCGCGGACAACAGTTCTATTTTGTACACAGATGTTGAGTGGGCACTGCCGCCTCTGGCGCAACGTAACTTTTACATCGCATGCATAGACAGTGTAGCTGAGAGTTATAAACGCGGACTGCTGAAATGTTCGGCTTAAACGTAATTGCTTCCTCGTAGTTTCTCCGGAAACTGTCCAGGGGCAGAGTAAAATAAATTTGCCGAAATTAATAGCGCCTGTAATGTGGCTATCGTAGAAAATTATTCACAGTGCAGGTAACGACTGAAACAAAGAACTGGGACCGCTAAGAATGTTTTGTAAACTTGCAGTCTATCTGAGGCTTCGTTCTGCTCCCTTCTCGCGAAAACGTAGGCTGGCTTTTTTACACTCTAAGTGGTCAGTGTGCTATCAGTATTCCGTCCGGGTACATGCGTGTTTAAGCACACCTGTCAAATAACAACAACAACAAAAACAGTACTGATAATAGTAATACAATAATTACTATACTAATGCTAACAACAACAACAACAACAACAACAACAACAACAACAACAATAATAATAATAATAATAATAATAATAATAATAATAATAATAATATTTTGGTCAAAAGCAAAGAACGTCACACTCACCCCTCTCGATTCAATGTCTTTCTCCGGGTTTCCATGTTGGTCGAGCCTCCAGACTTCTAGACTGTTCGTAAAAAAATGCATAGTTGTTCACAGCTTCGAATGATTTCTCGTTTAATTTATGGAGATCTGAACCACCGTAACGCTTACGTCATTAATTACATCTCTGTGGGCTTAACAAGTCATAGCATGATTTGTTCTATCTCTTAGAGGTGGTCCCACGCAACTTCAGCCCCAACTTCAAAAATGAAAGGCACACCAGAAGGGAACTGGACAGACCACATACAATTCGCACAACCCCACAGGGCCGTTTCAACAAAAAAGTCTTTTCTGCCAAGGTCCACCAAAACTTCATTGACCTCATCCTTGTCACGGAAGTGACGTTGGTCAAATATGTACCAGCAGGGAACCAAGAAAAACTAAAATTCACAGCATATCCGTGGAGTGAATGATGGTGTGCCGTTCATTCTTCCATCTGTCTGTCTGTCTGTCTGTCTGTCTGTCTGTCTGTCTGTCTGTCTGTCTGTCTGTCTGTCTGTCTGTCTGTCTGTCTGTCTGTCTGTCTGTATGTTCATCCATCCATCCGTCCGTCCGTCCGTGCGTCCATCTGACCACTCACGCATACCCGAAGCTTTTATATGCGCGCCTTTTATTTCACACGTCCGTGAGAGAGAGGCCAACGGCAAGCGGAACGCTTTCACGAGCTCCCGACTCAAACTGTGAGCTGTGAATGTCACGTTCCTGAAGCACTGCGTGGTTTACTCGCAGGCCGCATTTCACCTCCAGTTCACGCCATCCTGTGGCAGGCACGAACACGAGCCACGAAATAACAGGTCCTCTGGATGCCAGGTCACCAGGGGTTAGCCGAAAACAAGTTAGCACAGAATTCTCCCGAGCATTCATCCCCCCGGCTCTGACTACCGACTCCTCAGACCACGGCATTAAACCACCAATGCTGCAGCTACAACATACACTGATAAACTGCAGCTATATCGCGGACGTCGAAGAAGAAATGCGTTCGGGCATACTTCTGCTTAGGACAGCTTTCGTTTTTTCCTAACCTGTCAGATTTCCTGATTTTCTCTGAACAAGCTACATGGAGGATGTTACCCCCCGGCACGGGAAACCTTCCACCTAGCGTTATAGCATATAGCGTTAGAGCATCAGCCTTAACAACAAATACAAGACTTGTGAATGTATCACTATCAAGATCACAGCTTGAGGCACAATGTGATTATCTTCATGGAATCCGTCGCCGGACAGAGAGGAAATACAGGAGGACGAAATTGCTATATGACCTATCTACATGTCGCCAAGCACAACGACATGTACTGCGACACCTCGATAAGCTCGACAGGTAACGATGAAGGATTTTTTGTGGTTCTCTTGATCCCAGCAAACCCCTATTCTCCAAAATGGCATATTTTCCGGAGCCTTCAGACGCCTACGCAACAGTTGTTCCCTTTTCGAGCTTTGGCTCAAACGTAAGGTCGAACTGAAGTAGAAATTGCAGATAATTACTGCCACTTACTCGTAGGTATGTCATCCTCACCGGTGTCACCTTCGTGTTTAGCCACACCGCCTTCTTGTGACGATCGCCAGAACTTATCGTTCACAATGCACGAACTCGACGCGGTGATTTCTGCGTCCCTACGCTCGTCCGCACCAGGGCCTGATGGAATTGCCTATTCGGCTCTATGTCACCTCCACCAAGAAGCGCGGCAAGCCCTCTTGTCGTTCTATAACTCTAAGTGGGAAACGGCGACAGTCCCAGAGAGTTGGAACTGCAGCCGCATAGTGGCCTTACTTAGGCCAGGCAAGTGTTCACACGAGTTGTGTTTCTATAGAACCCTTGTCCTAGCCAGTTGCATCGGCAAGGTGATGGAACGCATGGGGCGGACAAGATTGGAGTGGCTGCTGGAGAATAATGTCGGCTTACCAGAGTTTATGAATGGCTTCCGCAAGGGTCGATCATCTATAAACGGCGATGTAGACCTAGTTTTTTTTTCGCTGAAAAGGGAAGACAACGTCGGAGATCGGTAGAGGCTATTTTCTTGAGTATAAAGGGCGCCTACGAAAGCGTTCTTCACGATGCCGTTCTTGGTGCACTTGAACACGTCGGCGTAGGTGGCTGACTCCACGCATGGATAGTGAGCTATCTCAGATGACATACTATTTTTATGTTGACATCGGGAGGTGAAACAGCCAGGCACCTCGTAAGCCGTAAAGTTCCGCAAGGCACCGTCCTGAGTCCCATGCTTTTCAACATAATATTCATTGGCCTTGAAGTTGAGCTCCCCGACGTTGCCAGAATTAGTGCGTATGCAGACTGCATATGCATACAGACATCGGGAGCAACGCGGCCACAACTGCGAGCAAGGCTACAACAAGGCACATCAGTAACATCACAGTACTTGCGTCGTCAGGGACTAGAAATTTCAATAGGAAATTGTGCTGCATTAGCGTTGACTAAGAAATCATTGGCGTGGTACCCAATTTTCGCTAATGGAGTAGTGATCCCCACGATCAAGCATTACAGCTATTTAGGGGTCGCCATTGACCACAACCTGCCCTGGTTGAAGCATGTGACTGTGCTGTGGAATACACTAATCAGTTTTGTGTATGTTGCTCGTGTTATAGCAAGAATTAGATTGAGCCCTTCAGAGAAGTGTCCTGCAGTCGTACAAGGCATTGTTTGCGGGCTATATACGGTACAGCTCACCTGTACTTTGCAGCATGCGTGCTCGTGCCTTCGTACTTTGGAGAGCCTTCAGGCGCGAGCACTGGAAACATATCTAGGCCTACCACGGTGGACGTCAACCTCTCGCACCTACCCTATACAGGTTTACACTCCTGTGAGTCTTTTCGGGTGCACCTCCATCTGCCGAACCGACATGCACAGTCCCCGTTGTCTTCGCTACAAGCGGACCTACCAGGCTGTACCTATTCATGATGCCTAGATACGCATAGACATATATGATCCCTTCAGACTTTGCGCCTGCCGTAACCTCCGGAGGGCCTCAATGGACATTGAATAAACCACTGGTGTGCCTTCATACAGGTGGAACTTCGATTAGGTCATATGTTTTTTATGTTTCCCTCAAGCAACTCACCTTGGCACATTTGGCTGACGGATACAGTGACTCTGTGCTCATCTACACCGCTGCATTCTTAACTTCGTCCGCCTCTGCTGTGGCTTTGGTGATTCCTCCACTCGATATTTCCCGGCAGTACAAATTGGATCAAAGATCATCTTCGACAGTTGCGGAACTTGTTGCTTATAAGAAGCTATACAAATTGGGAACGGCCAAGCACCGCACAAATGGACGATTCTCTCCGATGCAAAATGAGTGCTTCAAGCCATCCATCCTTGCTCAAAAACAGGCCAATTTTACGCGTTAGGGTTAATAATCTTCTAAGCGTTCGACTTAACACAGAAGTGGTTACTTGATTATACTCCAATGGGTTCCTGGACACTGTGGCCTGGTTGGCAACGAAGTAGCCGATAGCGAAGCAAGAGCGGCAATATACAACGCACCATGTTCGTCAAAGTATCGTATTCGCAAAGTGACGTCAACACTTTGTTGAGATCACTCATGCGCCACTGCCACTTATTGCTCGGTACCAGATCATAGGAACAAGCGTCTGCGGGAAGCAGACCCGAATATGACTTTTCGTCTTCCGGCTAACTTCCGAAGGCATGCTAGTGTGCTGCACCGGACTCGCCTGGGCGTCGCCTTCACTCGTCACTACGCCTACTTAATCGACCGTGCGGACAGCCCGAACTGTGAGCGCTGCCAAGTGCGCGAAACTTCAGCTCATACATTTTGCGAATGCCCATTATACGTGAAGTGAAAAAAAATGCTAACTTCAACGTCGGCAAGCATCCGATGAACGCCTCTCAGTGAAAGCTACAGCTTGTCAGCAGAGACCAAACAGTGTCAGAAATTGCTACAAGGGCTGTTTTAGACTTAATCAAAAGCACCGCACTAGATATTAATCTGTAACGTGCTATGCTAAGTGGCTACTGTACACACACACCACCTCTTTCTGTCCCCATCATCCTTCATCCCTCTTTCTTTCCCCCTTTCCTTATCCTTTGTGTAGTGTGGCAGGCAAGAGAGAACTAGCTCAGGACGGCCTCTCTGCCTTATAATAACCTCTCACTCTCTCTCTCCCTCTCTCATATCACCGAGCAAGAGAAACTTTGCCTCATCGAGCTAGTAGGCTTACTAAAACCGTGGAGACCAGTCTGCACAGGCTCCAAACCATGTCATACAGCAGACCGGACACAATTGACAAAATAGACAAAGAATAATTTAGTTTGATATGTGGGGTTTAACGTCCCCAAACCACCATATGATTATGAGAGACGCCGTAGTGGAGGGCTCCGGAAATTTCGACCTTCGGGGTTCTTTAACGTGCCCCAAATCTGAGCACACGGGCCTACAACATTTCCGCCTCCATCGGAAATGCAGCCGCCGCTGCCGGGATTCGAACCCACGACCTGCTGGTCAGCAGTCGGGTACCTTGGCCACTGGACCACTGCGGTGGGGCCAAGAACAATTTAGTGCATTGTGTGAATTCTGTGGCAACCACGCTGACCTGTTTGACAAGGTTTGGGCCTGCCACTCTAAGAAAAGTATCATCCAAATTACGCAGCCACCGTTGGAGAGATGGAAGAAGGCTTTTTCAAGCCCAGCTATCAAGGACCAGTGCAGACTTGTGGAGCGGGCGTGAATTGCAGCACAATCCAACGGAGTTTCGGAGTAGAGACCCGCCCAGTCCTCTCTTGATCTACATTTTCTGAGATGAATATTTTATTGATTCATTCCTTCGTGGACAACTTTGCTTGCCAATATAGTGAAGGCTGCAGAGCCAAATTTGCTGTGATCAATGCAGTCCAACAATTGTGCCGTTATTTTCTACGGAAGATATTGCCTTCATTTTTTTGCATGCAGCTTTTTGACAAAGAATGCAGCTCAAAACAGCAATATATTCTGTAATTTATTAGCTCGCAGCTGCCAACACGTGAGAAAGCCGTGCCATTTAGGTGCACTTAGAGCGCCAAGCGGCTTCTGCATCGATGTGAAACACTCATCGTGCTGAGCCTTCATTTTTTGCAACCGTCTGGAACGCAATAAGTACAGTAGTACTTATGTGTGTAAGCTTATGTAAGTAGTATGTGTGTAAGCTCTGCCCTCGTACCTTTCCCTTCACTGCCAAAAAAACAAAAAGCTAAAGCTGCCCCCATAGCAGAGGCATATTATTGTATACTACAGGTGAACGTACACGTCGCCGTTTCTCTTCTCGAATGACGACGCTTTGACCGACAATCTAATGCACCAACGGCGATCATACATAGTTCTCTAGAAACGGGCCTTGTACATGTATCTCTCACACTTTCTCGCTATCACTTTGAGTTTGGCAGGCGAGAAGCGGTGACAACTTCTGGGACTGGTGTATTGAGGTACTGCATCATTTCACTAACGACTGCCCTCCACTTTCTTTCAACTGCCCACCACCCTCCTTTTCTCCGAAAGACCACAAAAATAGTGTTTTAAGGCATAGTTGGTACACAATTTGAAATTTTTGCTAAATTGTACCAATGTGTGACAGTTTTCGCATCGTGACGAAGTTTCGCGCAATTAGCACTGTCATCGCATTCTTCAAAAGAAACATGAAGAATACAGCTACATGAGAGTTAGCAGAAGGCAGAGAAAATGAGCATCTCAAACTTTAACTTGCATACCATATCATTGTGTAGTTCTCATGTTGTTCTATTTATTTATTCGTCGGGTACCAAGGCTACACAAGCAGCTAACTCAGCATGTACCCAGCCTTAGCTTACTTATTTATTTTAATTCGTGAAAGTTGAGTATGAGCAGTAGAAGATCTTCAAGAGGTGTGCGTCCGGCCTGTTCACAATTGTGGACACATTTTCCCCTCGTGTATTCGTGCAAGAAAAGCAATGGCAGTAAACGCAAGTGGCGATTAGATGAATGCCACCGTATGGCTTAGCTTCAGCTATAATTTTTTCTATTCGTTGCTAGCACCCTACTTGAGCCGAGCGCATCCACCAACACCGCACTAGGCCGGTGGAAATGCAACAAATATGGTAAGTAAGAACAGTGGTACTCACCCTCGGCGAATGATCTCGAACATCCCCTTGACTCCGACGGCCAACGTCTTGTCCACCCAGCCTCCCGGGCTTACCAGTTTACTGATACCACGACTGCAACAGAGCAAGCAATTTGACTCTCTTGAAGACAGCAATGACACTAATTTTCTATTATCATGTGAGTTGATCCTTGTGCACTCGTAAACAAGCTGGCGAAAATGTTATGAATTTGGTCAATCGCCGAATTCATAACTGAATAGGTTCATAAACACGCGAGTGGCCTGACAGTCGGACAACACTGGTACACTCGTGGGCGGTGACGTAAAAAGCAACTATAGCTGTGCTAGCGTTTGCATTCCGGCAAACGATATTGTTCCGTAGTCAGGAGCGCGTAAAGTAGATATTTAAGCTGTCTTTAGCTTGGCACTAAAATTTAATGATATGCAGTGGCTGATACTTTGGTAGAAAAAGACGGCTTCACTTCTTGCGGCACATGACGTCACACGCACCATGGCAAAACGATGGTTGCCAGCGACGGGCAGAGTTTACAGCGGATGACTTTCAGGGCTTGTTTTCCACTGACATACCTTTATGTTCCACCTTTGAAACATGTAAACGCACAGTAGACGGTTTCGGTGTTTGTAAAAAAACTGGATCGCGCCGAACGGCCTACCCCAGAGCACTTCCGGTAATGCTTGTTCAATTGTCCCGGTGGTGTTTCAATGGTGTGTTTGAGCTTGCTGCTCTAGTATTTCTGGTGCATGCCTTAGGATATATTTAAAAGAACGTCTAGCAGCTCGGCTGCATATGTACTGCAATATGATCAGGTCGAGCACTGTATATTGCCGCCGTTACCTCCGTTTACCAGGATAACGGAGGTGTAGGTGACACTAATTAGCTGAAGCACATGGTAAAGCGCAGTTTGCATCTTTTCAAACACGAGGAGCATTAAATATTGTTTACACAGGAAGCGTTTTAGCGGCTCAGGGATAAGCGAAATTTTGCACTGTTGTCAGGTGTCCAATTGTGGTGCTGTTGCTTATCGGTTATGTGACGAGCTTTAAATGTGCTTGAGATAAAGTTTGATTGTATGGTCTGAGTCTCACTTCATTCCTGTCTAATAAATTCTGATACTTGACACTTACATTGTCTCTTAAAAAGAAAAGACAAATGGAATGACAAGGAGGTTATCAAACTTGTCTTGCCATGCGCAAATTTAACATTAGGCAAAATTTATAGAGACAAAATTGTGTTCTTAGATTTGGGTTCACCTGAAAAATCCAGATTGCCTGAAATAATCCCGGTGGCGCGCATCGTGTATGTAGTATATTTCAAGCAGAACGTCATCTTCTTCTTTTTAGTAATCTTGAGCGCTTTTGTGGCGTTGTGATAGACTGTTGGAGGAATGACACACATTCGCTTAAAAAAATTATTTCGCCCCACCAAATTATCGAACCTTCCTTGGATCACTGTAATGCAGATAACCTTTCTAAGAAATCTGCGGGCTGAACCATTGCCTTTTAGATGCAAAGCAGCTCTTTGATTAGCCTATGTCACGCTGTCCCTCCGTCCGCACCATTCCCCTCGCCGCAGGTGTCGTAGCAGTGCCAAGAAGCTCCCGTCATCCTAGAAGTGTGCGGTGGCATCTCTCTCCTTCGCTGCCGCACGCTCGCTGCGTCTCAGCTCTCTCTCGCTTCACCCCTCCACCGCTCGCAATGTTCGAGCCCATGCCACCTTTCTCCATCTGTCGTTAAGAAGTCCTTAGCCGGTGGGTGCGTGCGCTGCGCACGCCTCGAGTCAACAATAGAGAGTTATAGTATACTGGGTTTACAGAGTTACCAGGTGTACCATGATACAGGAATCGAAGTGCGCATGCGCAGCTACGTACGTCACCCGTACCGCTTCCCGTACGCGCGGTATTTTTCAAATTTAAGGTTACCGTGGTAGCGTAAGTGTACGTAGTGTACGTAAACATGGCGGCGCTCTCGGACGCCCGCTTCGAAGTGATTTTGGCGTAGTTGTTGAAAGATTCACCTTGTCCGCCGCAAACGACTCTTCAAAGTGGCTTCGCATGCCTTCAGTTAGCTTCGATGACCGAGTATTACGGATAAGTTGGCGTAGTTTTTGAGATAGCTTCCCATTTCGAACGCACCTAGGCCTAACTACAATATCAATGTAAAGAAATCGGAAACGTAGATGTTTTCGCGTTTGGTGCCTGGTTCATATTTATTTACTTTTATTATCACAAAAATAAACCTCTAACAATGCTTCACGCAGTGGCATAGGCAAACAATCTCGTTTTATTTTCATTTTTACTGTTTAACTTATAACCCTCTTATAGGTGGCGCCACCGTCCCATCTGGGGCAGGTAAACCACGTAAGCGCTATTTCGCTAAACTATAAGACACTGCCCACAACGAACGTTTGCTGCACGGTAACACCATTCCCTTAACTTATGCTATCACGCTAACGCTAAACTATAACTGTCTAATGCGGACATCGCGCCGCTGCTTGCCGCGCGATCGCACTGACTGGCGGGACGCCATCACGGCATGCTTCCTGCTAGTGTTGGCGTACCTTTCACTGCTATCGCCGGCGTCGTGAGGGTTAGCCAAGCCGATCGTGTTCGCGAATGGCAACGTCAACAGCGACGAGGTTCGAGCCAGGGAAGCTGAACGCAAGCGTCGGCCATGGAAGACCAGTGACACCGATGAGGTGCGAGTCAAGAACACCGATCACGTTCGGAAATACAGACAGCACACGGGTGACACCAACGAGACACGAGCCAAGAAAGCTGAACGCAAGCGTCTTCAATGCTCCCCGCCCCCTTGTGTCTGCGTTTTAAACAAACGTCTACTCGAATAAACGCTACACCAAGTTTCGCTTAACCGTTCTTCCAGCACCCGCTTCGACGCCCGCTTCAACCGGGTCAACGCCGTGTGCACCGCTGCTGCTTCACATCTTATCAGCGTTCCCTTCAGGGAGATCATATATTTTTATACCCTTATAATAGTAAGAAGAATTGCGCGCTCAAGCGCTGTTGATTGATTGATATGTGGGGTTTAACCTCCCAAAACCACCATATGATTATGAGTGACGCCGTACGAAGGGCTCCGTAAATTTCGGCCACCTGTGGTTCTTTAACGTGCACCCAAATATGAGCACACGGGCCTACAACATTTCCGCCTCCATCGGAAGCTCAAGCGCTGTCAATCATGAAGCTTTGCTGAATAAAATTATCAACTGTCCTACGTTCATTTCACGAAAAACTGAAAAAGACAAAAAATTCGGATGCGTAATCACACAATTTTTTTTCATCCCCCCACCCTCCCCGAACAAAAACCGACAATGACGCCATACAAAAGCCTGTGAGATTTAAGTTTCAACAAGAAATCTTTAAGCATTCCCTTCACCACAAAATTTTCATTATCTGATGGTGCTTATTTTCGACATTTAAACACAGAATTCGGCGAAAGACCTGCTTCCAGAAGAACTTTTGCCTGGGTGAGTTGGTGCGTCAGTTTTCTTAGCATGTTATTTGTGGAGCAAAGCTTCAAACATGAAGACGGGAAAGGATGAGCGCCACTTTCTATGCCCCCTGCACTTGTTTTGAGTGACTGGTACCTTTTACCGTTTTATACAGCACACACGACATGCTCAAGGCGAGGGTATTATAGCTTTAGGGTAAGGCTCCATGTTATTCAAAGTTACAGTGTAGTTAAAGCCATGGTCGTAATAAAAAAATTGCCTACGATTACAGTACTGCTTAATGCAAATTCTGAGTGCCACTTCGTTTTGGGGCAAAGCCAACTTCATTCGAAGTTTTGGCTTTTATCCACTTCGACATAAATCATAATTTTTGTGGAGTAGGACAGCAACCACTACGCCAGGTGGCTGATAACGATGAAGAATTACGGCTGAGCATTTTCCAGTGGGTGGGAAGCATGACACCACAAAATAATTGCGGAATTTGTATTCTGTATTGACTAGTTGCTACTTTACTCATCTGCCAAGCTATATTACATAAGCTGTCCGCCTCAGCGGAACAACGGTTACGGTTTTCGGCTGCTTACCTGAAGGTCGTGGGTTCGATCCCAGTGGCAGTGGACGCACTTCTATGGAAGCGAAATGCTAGAGTCCCGTGCACTGTACAATGTCGGAGCACGTTGAAGAACACCAGTTGGTAATTTCCGGAACCCTCCTTTACGGCGTCTCTCATACACATACATAACTTTTTGGGGCGTAAGAACCCCGATATTAATAATATGTTACACAGGGTAACATGCTTGCTTGCCCAACATGACGCCTGTATAGGGCACTTTCGCGAATAAGTTTCAAGCACCAGCTGAGCTGGAAGTATACTTGACTGCCACGCAGATGACACGGGTTCATGCCCATTCAAAGCTCTGTATTTTTCAATATTTTTTTTTTCATTTCAAGCGGTTACGCCACTCACGATGATGGCAACGCCGCTCAAGACAAGAATGGGTGGTTGCCCCCCTCCCTATTTCGAAACAACTTAAGACTTGAATTCCTTCTTTTATACTTTACCAAGCTGAGCACAGTTCTGCCGCTCTACTGAAAATGACTCAGCGGCTCTCACGGAATGATGCCAGCTATCACTTATATGCAGTGAACGATTTTGCCGATCGGTAGATCTGCTATTGATATTCTGGAGTTGAAGTGAAGGACTGAATGAAGGGACTCTGAAGAATACGGGGGTAAGAGCTGTGCTGGAGTGTACCAGCTGTGCCCTAGACGATATAAGGGGGCAATACGTCACGCAGTCAGCCTTGGCAAGCCACCTCCCTTTGAGACCAGCAGGCCAAACACGTGGCTGTTTGCGTCACGCAAGCTATTACACGCGTCGAGTCTTTGATGCCCGCTACGCTTAAGTCGAAGCGTGGCGCTCCTTCAGCGTAGTTCGAGCGGCTCACTGAGGAGGTTCAAGACAGAACGTCACGGGATGCACTAAAACCTGCCGCACGCTCTGACGTGTTGGGCCGACACAGTGGGCTTCAATCGCATTGCGTAACACCCAATTCTTTCTTTTTCTTTTCTCATTGGCTAAAGACATGGCTAAGATAAAAGAATTCGAAGACGGTGCCGCCAGCGCCACCGGAGGACGCCTTTCAAAGCACACACAGAAAAAAAAATACCTTCCTGACGCAAAGAGAAGCTGCCAGAAGTGCAACAGTTTTGAGTTTTAGATTTTGGTTTTCATGCCTAATACGTCTATATGCCTAGGCGTCATTTTTTTTTTTTACTGATCGGGTGACTACATAACTGTTGGGCTACTCTAGGAGTAATTATATCACCAGTTTCAATAGTGAAGTTGTGTTCTGCCTCTTTTCCAGTTTCAGAGCGATATTACAATTATAGAATCTTTTTGTGGGTCAAGACTATACACATAGCCACTAGCTAAAAAAAGTTTTCTAATATTCACTTCATAAAAAAAATTAAAGTGTTAGATGGTCCATGTTACATCCGAAGCATACTTTTACAAAAGTTTAAAGCCAGTTTTGAGCAACACTTCAATTAATGTAATTGGCAAGTTACCGTAAATACCCTTGTATGCGCATGTCTGGCAAGGAAGAAAATACGCTACATGCTGTACTTTTCTCCATATACTGTGAATTGCCCAATTACTGGATGAGTTGGCGTTCTACGCATAACCAAGCAACGCCACGTGTTTCGCGGCATGGCTTACTGAGAATATGAGAAAGTTACGGCATAAAGAAAGTCATCAATTCCATGGTTGAATGCATTCATGTGCATGAATCGGAAATGCCGACTTGATTACAAAAAAAGGCCCTCACGAGTTGATGGCAATCAGGAAAAGAAAGTGTGGTGCCATGAGCTTGAACAAAGGGTGCGAAGGACTCAGGTTGCGATGAGTGCAGACGGTGACGCCTTCCATCAGCAGGTGCGTGAAACCTGCGGTGAAGAAGACGGGGGGGGGGGGGGGTTACCAATATTGCAGAGTGAGACACTTAAGCTTTCGCTATGAAAATTGAAGAGTAATGTAGACATTAGCCTCTATTGGAGTCTTCGTTGAAAAAATATCCACGAAGTAGTTAAAGTGTTCAGTAATTTCAGGTAACTGTTAAATTATGTACTCGTATTTACCGCGCAAGTAATATCTTTATACTCGAACAATCCGTGTGCATAGAACAGCAGGATCCTACTGACATAGACAATTTTTAAAATATTTATTATAAAAAAGGTTTGTTTCAAACAGACATTGAGTGTGGCGACATGAACAACTCTCCGGTATTGAGTGAAAGCAGTGAAATAGACTTATAATGAACAATTATTCAATATATTGGGGCCCACCGCATGTTTGGCTGCTTCTTTCAGACACGGCTTATAAATAGTTTCTATATCCCTCATGTTCTCGCAGGTTCTCAATACCACCCGAGGCGTTTCTTCTTAACGTGCACCTAAATCTATTTTGGGTGTGAGGCCCGACGACGACAACAGACAGAGGGCGCACACACACCGAGCACCACTTCTCTTTACATATGGCGTCACCCCATGCATCGTACGCTTGAAATGTGCGTTCCCATAACGTTCTGTCTGCAATTCTTGCAACTGTCTAAGCACATGTAGTGTTACCACGTTTCGCTTACATGTAAATGAAGCTAGCATATACAGCAATGGAACTCATTACTTCTATCCTAGCATCGCGAGGCCTCAGCCTGCAAGTTATCGCTGGATGTTGCTTGCAAGACCTGTACGAATAAACACTCAGCGCGAACACGCATGCGTCAATATGTTTACACTGAGCGGTTACGAGAAGTTTACAGCCATCAGCTGAATAAAAAAAACTTGCAGGGCTCACGGTACGATATTTCAGCAGTGGTGTATTAAGCTAGCAAGCTCCATCACTGTATCATTTTATATGGTTGTTCGGAAAACCAGTTCTCAATTTCGAAATGTACAGCGGTTGTCTATTTGCTGTAGCTTCAGCTTACACACGCACTTCCTTTTCATATGAGTCCACCCATCAAGTTTATCTCCGTTTAATAGTTGGTAATAATGTGAATGACAAAAATTCTTCAAAGTGAGAAGATCGTGGAAGTATCGACGAATTGCCATAATCCACTCTTCACGCCATTGCTTCTAGCAACGCTTGCATTGGAAACAGTACAATTTCACGGGTACTTTTCAGCCCTTTGACATTTTTTTAAACTTTTGTAGCAGCTCACAGTGGGAGACCAGCGCTGGGTAGGTGGCGCGCCGAAAAAGGGCACCTATTTCACTATTTTCCAAGCGCTATTTTCTACACACTTTTTTCCAAACGCGCTCAGGCGCCGCCATCTTAGGCTGATAACGTTGCAGTTTTATGAATTGAACATTTGACGTCACTTTGCACCACGTGATAGCACTCGGCAAATAGCGGCGCGAGCGGCGGATGGAAAAAAAGTATGCGTGACTGTGCTATCTGAAGGGAGCATGTACAGTACATCTATTGAGCCTGTCTTCCCTCTAGCATCACCACACGATTCTCCCCACCGAAGCATAAGGACGTGCGCGCCAGCACCTAACCCCTCTCCCACACACCCCCATTTGCGGGGCAAAGTACGCGTGGGAAATAAGCGCGTGTGGGCGCATCGCGACGAGGTGGGTGCCAAGTGCAGGCGGCTTTTTCTTTCTGGAGTTTTATATATACAGATACGAAAACAGACTTGGCGTCACGTTTATAGGCATCTCTCAAGTTACTATATTTCGCTCGTGTTTTTTTTAATTTTTTACTTTCGTCTTCTCTCTTCTTTCTACCCTCATTTCCTCTATGCTTCCCGTTCCCGAAGGAGCAGACAGGCGTCGTGCCCCTATAGGTGGCAGTTGTAAACCTGTTCCCTCTCTATTTTCTCTGTCTTCGTGTGTTCAAAGTACTCGAACGAAATGGAAATATTGATAATAATAGCAATAATAATATGATATACGTAACATATACGGTGCATGACAGTGGTGGCGACGCCAGAAACCATCCTAGACTGTTTATATAACTCCTATCGCAATATTAGTGTGTCCAACAAAGAAAAAACAAGCCCTTAAATATCTACTTCATTGCTTCATTACGTAGACGATGTTATTTACCTAGGTGTGAGCAAGACTGATGGTAGCTGGCGTCCGAGTTGTTGTAGTACATCTTGGCTGCAATCCACGTAAATGGTGGGTCGGATGGCAGAAACACCTAGATGGCGAAATGAAGCAGCTGTCACTGACATGCACAACGCACATATGAGTGTGAAGACGCACCGGATTGTCCACGCCTTTCTGCTGCCTCAGCTGTATGGCGATGGGCATCAGGTCGTTCCTCTTGTTCAGGAAGAAGAGCGCCATGGATCCCCACAGCTGAAAGGCGAAACAAAAAGCAATATTGTTGTGCGCGTGCACGTGCACAAGTCACGTTGACGATCCGCTACCATTTTAATAAACAGAATAAAGCCACACAAATGCTAACGATGCGTGCAAGCAGCACACATATTCGGTTCATGTAGAGCTTATTTTACGTAAAAGACAAGGGTGCCGCCTCATAAAGCCCTAAAACAAATCTTTTCGTATTTGGATATTACGGTGTGAATTAACGAATTCATTGAAGTTTGAATGAGCCAACTGAACCGTTTTGATGTGCACGCGTCTACCTCAACACTTTTCGTTTATGTGTTAAAGGTACGAAACGGCAATGCTAGTAGAGCCCAATATCACAGCCCCGAAACCCATCCTGAGCTGCGAACACCAATACACTCCCCCTTAAAAGAGCCCTTCACCACTGCATGTTCTAAGATGACAAAGTGGCTTACTCTTCATCTTTGCCATCCTTCTTACAGGCGATATCTCCTCCTTTCCACCTAATTCTTAAAAGCACGAGCACTAGGTATTCACCCTATCAGGATTTCGCACTTCTCGGCTACACACTGCCGCTTGTACAGTTGGAAACACACAAAATTAAGTGAAATTAGTCAATCCAAAATTAAGTGAAATTAGTCAATTAGTCAAAAAGAATGGATGGGTGGCTGCATGTCAAAGTAGTGTGAGACACAATCCACATCTGATATTTCACGTATATGTACGAGGTAAGTGTTTGTACTGTATACACGCCACTGACGGGAATCACTAACCTTGCGTCACGAAGCGTACCAGAAGAACGAGAAACGTCAGAAAAGAATTGTGTGAGGGAGTTCATTTATTTTGTAGTTTGCTATATTTATACTTACAAGCACGGTGCATAACATTCTACAAAACAAATAAAACGAAGAAAACGTAATTACTGCTTCACTAATGAAAGTAAGCATTCTCTGCACGAACCCACCGTTTCCTTTGTCATTAGTGGGACGCCTTCGACAATAGCGATGTCTGTCATGAAGATTCTGTTTCTCTGCATTGCTTCGACCAAGTTCATTCCCTCCAGGAACGGTTCGACCATGTAGTCTTCCACGCCAAAC